TCTTTTTCTCTTCTTTTGTTTATAGCAACAATTGAAAACGAAAAAGTCTAAGACGTACACTTACGTCCACGTGTTATTATTTTATTCTTTTTGTTTTCTAGAAGTAGATAACTTCCACATTTTTTCTACTAACTAGTCTCTAGTTTCTACGTTCGTGCGATGCACGAATATCTTATGTCAAATATTATGAAACACACACAAAAAAATAAACTTTCAATTGCATAATATTCTAAAATTAATTGCAACTGAATATGTACGAAATTCAATACGTACAAAGTTTAATAATTTGTTTCCTTAGAACAAAAAAGATATGATATACAATCCAAACGAACAAATTAATAATGTTTTGGCACAATGAAAGGACAAAATAGAACTAAATATTACGGAATTATACAATTATGCAATTAAAATTATAAAATTACTTAAAGGATATAACAATACTTAATATTATTTTTCTGATTCAATAATTCTTTTTTGATTTAATTAAGCCTTAATAATTCAGATACATGAGAATCATATTTACTCAAGATACATTAGTAACAAAGAAACTAAAAATAGAAAGGTCATTTAGTCATTCATACCTTCTGTTGACATTTTTTTGTGTGGCACGTTATCCTATGTCAATTATTACAAAAGTCATATCTAATAAAATATAAATTCTTAACTATACAAATATTCAAAAGAAAATTATATGTTACCTCTAGAAAATAATTTAACTCCAATCATAATCAATCCAATCTCTAAATTCAACTCCAATTCTGATTAATCCAATCTCTAGTTAAAATGCACGTGAATTCACGTTCCGTCAGTTCCTAACTAAAGAAATAAAAGGTATCGAAGAACTTTCCAAATATCCTATCGTGAAAAGAAAAAAACCTATTCAAGAAGGAATCATGATATTTTATTAGAAGGAAAAATATTAATATTTATAAAAAAATTCCTAACACGTAAATAAAAACAAATCACTTTCAGGAGTGAATGAAATTTATGTGAAGTTCCTTACACAATAAAAAGGTAAAAAAGAGTTCTTAAAATTCCTAATGTGAATAAGAAACAATAAAAGCTCCCCAAGAAGAAATCTCCTGTCCTCCCACTAAGATTACGTACTTGCTGTAATTAGGAACAACAATTTTTTTTGAAAAAAAATTATGGATATGCTTTTCTAATCTAAGTAGGATCAACTTTATAGGATCGGCGTATGTGTAGTTTAAATTGAAAAAGAATTTCATCATTTGATAATTTACAATTAGATCCTTAAATTATACAAATACTTAAGGGCAAAAAAGCCGATCAATATTTTAGGGATATTTTAGTCGTTCAATATTTAGCATAAATTATTCTTGCTTTTATAATAATATATAGATAATAACATTTGTAACTCTGCGACTATATAATATGGTGTTATTTAAGGATGTGACCTAGTGGTCAACGAAATAAGAGTAGAATCGTGAGGCCTTAAAATCTCAACAGAGCCAAAAAAAAGTAGGGATTTTTACATACCTGTACACTATTGGAAACTTTATTACCCTCCCTATTCAAGTTTCAATTTAATTACATCCTATATACAAAATTACCAATTATGTACACTTGAGGAATTAAATGAGTATCCCTTTATATTAGGAATCAATTATTTCCAATCCTTATTCTCTCTCCCTCATGCTCTCTCTCTCTCTCTCTCTCTCTCTCTCTCTCTCTCTCTCTCTCTCTCTCTCTCTCTCTACGTCTCTCTACGTCTCAATCCCTAATTCCAGTAATGTAGAGCAAAAGAAAAGAGAGCAGCAATTCCACCATTGACAGCTATTAAAAGGCTGTGAATTCGAATTTGGATTTTTAAAAAATATTATTTATTTGAATTAGGTGTTGTTGCAAACAATTGGGAATTCTCTCTATGTCTCTCTTTATCTCTCAATCCCTAATTCCAGTAATATAAAGCAAAAGAAAAGAGAGCAGCAATTCCACCATTGACAACCATTAAAAAGCTTTGAATTCGAATTTGGGTTTTCAAAAACAATTATTTGTTTGGATTAGGTGTTGTTGCAAACAATTGGGAATATGGTTTGGAGTTTATATCGCAATTTTGAGGGTGCTTTGGTGAAGATTAGACTTATATAATTAGTTGTATGAAATTTATTTTTACTATAAATAAATCAGCTACAAAATATACAAAGGACACATTGTATAAAAGGTCAAACCCCAAAAACGAATTTGTATTGCAATCCCAAAAACACGTTGATTTCCGCAAAATAAGAAGCAATTTATATTTTCCAGTTATCAGATCAAATCCCAGAAACACTTGAAGATGATCCAATGGGTATTTCCCGTGATTCATAGGGAACGGCAAAACTTTTATCTCCCCTGTGGTTATTGTAGACAATAAATTTGCGTCGAAAAAATAAAATCAAGACTGAAAAATATTGTAACAATCGTAGTATTTTTATTTCAAATAATTGAGTGTTACAATCTCTACAATTCCTCTGATTCTACTTTTCAATAGTAAATAAATTCAAGGGCCTTTTGAGCTTGATCTTGAATCTATATTTGTTTCCACGAACGATGATCTTGTTCTTGAACTTGAGCTTGAGCTTGATTGCTTGAACTTGATCTTGATTCGTTCTTCGTTCTTGAGCTTGAACTTTATTTCTTGAACTTGAACTTGATTGCTTGAAGCTTGAAACTTGTAGAGAAATTTGCGGTGTTTGATCCACGAGCTCTCTCTTGCTTCTTGTTATAACTTCTGGTGGTCTTTTCTGAGTTATGAAGACCCCTATTTATAGTTGTGGAAGGGAAGAGTTGTGATAAGAACAAACTCTTTCCGACCAATCAAATTGAAGTGTGACATGCTCGCATTTAATTGGCCAGAACATGTCACTTGCACACGTGGCGCGATTTCATTGGCCTTTAGTATGACTGGGCATGCCTTGTCATTTTGACACGTGGCATGGTCCTATTGGCTCTTCCGCTTGACTTGGCGCGCCACGTCATTTGACACGTGGCGCCAAAGTGGGCCTCTAGGAAGATGTCATCTTGGGCTTAATGAAGTGGGCCATTACTTTAGCCCAATTTAATGGGCTAGCCCAATAATATTGGTCTTATATAATTAATCCAATTATATTAGCCCATAATATTTATTTGGCTTAATATAGTTCAAATAATTTTATGAATTTAAATCCAATAAAATTTAAATGCCTACAGTTATATTGTACAGGTAAGCTTGAGTATTTAAAGGAAATTCTTCTAACCGTAAATCATATCCTTAAATCATAGTAGGCCGTTACGCGGTACTTATGCTAATGAAAGATAGCAAGTACACAATAAAATAATCGACATACATACAAGGTACCACAATAAAATAACTAAAAAGAATATAGTGTTTGTTGCTACTAACGAGCGTAGTAACATCTTTAGTGAGTTAACTTTTCTTTTCATCATCATTTTATATTTGTTCTAACTCTGAATTCATTAGCACAAAGTGAAAATAGGGAATAGTAAACTTACTTTTATCAACTTTCTGAATTTTATTACTATTTGATGAGTCACACAAACTTCTTTTTGTCCATAACTTTTTTCATATGTTTTTTTCTAATTATAAAAGTCTATTTATAGAACTTTTATCTAGTTTGAAATTATGTCAATTACATTTTGAATATTCAAAGATCAATGTTGAAATTAAGAGTACTTTTCATTAACTTTATGTAAAATAAATAGAAAAAAAAAACTCAGCATAGCGAGCAGCGACTTATTAAAGATGATCACCCAGGCAAATATGCGCCTTTAGCCTTTATGAAAGATTATTAATTTATTAAATTATATTTGAACATAAATTTTACAAGGAAAAAAAGAAAAGCTGAAGGTTTCAAATCACAAATTATGATGATCGGAGTACTATTTTACAAGTCGACAAAACTCTCTTTGACTGATGAATCAAGAAAAGGTAAATCAATCAGCCATTTTGTTTCGTATCTGTATACTACTCCCATATAATTATCTAATCACAGGCGGATTCAAAATATAAATTTTATGGGTCCGAGTTCAAAATTCTACTGCAGTTCATTTGATTTATTAGGTTCTAAATCCATCTTTTGTACTTGTTTTGTGGGCTGTTTAACTACTTGTTTAAAGTGTTCAGAAAGGCGAAAAACACAAAAACAACTCTAAGGTCCGTTGGGGCTTTAAGCGCAAAGGGCAAATAAAATGTGAGCTTTGATGAAAGAAATGCGCAAATGGAGAATAAATAACAAATATATGGACAAAAAGATTTACAAAGAATTACGATAAAGTGAAATGTCAATAGAATTACCCTTATTGGCAAGGAAAAGTATGTTTTAGAGCAGATGATGAAGCGCCTGCTAAGCGAGGCGAAGCACTCAACATATTTTGAGCCTCGCTTCAGGCTTAAGCGCATCTTTAACAACACTGCTTTGTTTAGTAGAGTTTTTAACAACAACAACAAAAAATCCAGTGTAGTCCCACAAATGAGGTCCGGGAAGGGTAGAGTGTATGCGGAGCTTATCCTGCAAACCAATCCAACAACCGAAGGGAATTGAGCTCAAAGGTACTGGATTTGAGTGAACCACATAGTTGTAAACTACATCCGCCCCTGCTAATCTACTGACCCGCAGATTTCTTTGTTTGTTTAATTTTAATGCTATTGCCTGGTATCATCCTCTGTATATCTTCTTGAGAGATCGATCTGTCTTAGTCCAAATTATGCTAGTAAGGAGCAATTTTTTCTGCTGATGATTACCTTTTTGTCTTAGGTTGTACTTCTACTGTATTTCTGCTTTCCTTGAGCCGAGCCGAGAGTCTATTGGAAACAACTTCTGTAGGTAGGGGTAAGGTCTGCGCATACACTTCTCACTGCGTATACGCTACCTTTCCCGGACCCCATTAGTGGGATTAGAATGGATATGTTGTTGTTGTAGTAGTAATTCATGGCGGTGTGAGATTCAAAGGTTCATGCCAAATTAGTTTTTTTCAATAGGCAGTTTGTAATTGCAGTATAGTTCAAAACTCAAATATTTCTTCTCTGTTAATTTCACACCAAACAATACAATGTGGGAATAATCTGGGAATAATGCTGTCCTACTCCTAGGACAGATGGTGAACTCAGTTACAACTTTTGGCACCATCTTGTCCCAGTCATCAATTTAAAAAAAACAACAACAAACAAACTCTAGGAGATCAAGAAAAAAACTAGCCCCATAGTGGGGAAACATCATTTAGAAAGGCTAATTGATTTCTCTAGGGCTCTGAATTTTGTATTATGTTGCAGTTGTTAACAGACAGGCAAATCTACTGGAGGAGCCTCCAATGATTCCAATTGAGTAACTCCATTTTCGACGATGAACGCCATTGCCAAACCCCAGCCAATGTGAACATCCAGGTGGCAATGCATTAGCCAAACTCCTGTTTAAAAGATAATATTGTAAGTCGAATTCAGGGGACGGAGCTAGGTAGGCGGAAGGGGGTTCAGCCAAACCACCTTCGCCGAAAATTACACTAAGGTTAATTTTTTTCCATGTATATATATTAGATGTTGAATACCCTTAGATTAATCACGTGTTTTTTTATTCCCCTTAGTGAAAATCCTACTTCCGCCACTGGTTCGAATTGTAAACATAGTATAGAAAAGAGTTTGAAATGTTAGAGAAATGAGTATGTAGTTGTTTCCCTTTGTATTCTGTTACCTGGATTGTCTGCAACAAATCTGATAACCGCCCATCCTTTGACAGGTACACTGGCCGTATTTCTGAGAGGTGGATCAACAAGGTTGAATTTAGCTGCATCTGTTTTTGGATTAAAGTTACCGAAACCCTCTGCAATTATGTAAAAATCATATCCGTGAAGATGAATTGGGTGGTTTTCAGCTGTGAAAATACTTGTCCCTTGTAACACAACTTGCACTCTTGCCCCATATTTCAACTTGTATAGCTTCGTTCCTCGAGTAGGTTGCCATAGTGATCGGCTTACATTACCGGTGTAATCAAATTGTACAGGTGGTTTTGCTGGGAAATCAGTTGAGAATACACCAGGTATGCCTTGCTGATGTGCTTGTAGCAGGGAATAGTTGGATGGTAGAACAAATGATACATTGTTCATACTGGCTGTGAAGCGAGTACCATTCGGACCTTGACAGTTTCTGGAGCGAGCGCCTCTTGGGCAGTTGTTGAGTCCTAGCCCGACTGTGAAGAATAGATTTTCGTCGATTTCAGTGGGCACCTCGACCTTTCTTGGGCTTCTGAATTTGGTTGTGAAGGCTGTAGCTGTGGCTGTGTCGTTAAATGCTGGTAAAGATGGGGAAATTGGATTTGTCTTGACACAATTGGAAGAACAAGAAGCTGTCTTGTACTCAAGGATTGCTGTGGTTGTGGTATTATCAAAGGCTGCGCCTTGGGCGCTTGCGTAGGCACGTGCTGCCATGTAATATCTAGCTGGTTGCTGATCAGCTGTGATTAGGACATCAGTTGTCTGTCCTGGTCCGAGCATAAGGACTGATGTTGTAAAGGGTCTAACATAAGAAGCATCTGCTCCAACGACAGTAAGTTTGTGGTTGGCCACAGTAAAGAAAAGTTGCTGATTGAGTGCAGCATTGATAACTCGAAGGAGGTTGGTTTCGCCCGAGTCCACAGGGACTATGGTTGTATCTGCAAAAAAAATCATATCTATGAAAACATGTCCTGAACAGGTACGATATCAAATCATAGTTTGGCGAACGTCACTGTAACATGGCTTGGTGGAATTTAGTCTTTATACTATGTGTAAACTTGCTTCCATTAGTTGAGATTAGAACTAACCTTGGCTGGAACACTTGTAGAGATCACCTGGTTGACCATTGATGGTGTATGCATCAGATACATTAGGAGCTGCTCCTGTTCTTGTTGCTCGTCTTACAACGTCTATAGGGTTTGTATCCCACCACTCACCTAATCATCATCGTCAAACTGTCATTTCAACGAAATTTCTAAAAAACAGAATATATGAGAAAATGCATGACTAGTATTCGTTTTCAGGAACGATTAAAGCTTTTGGTATTGAAGAGAAGGTAGAGTAGTACCAAGCATAATTGGTGTTTCTCTTTTCGGCTTAGCAAACGGATAGGATTCTCCTTCTTTCGGATGGATAATTAGAGCTCCATAAACCGTAGCCCTGAGCCACGAGCTGTGAGCGTGCCACCATAGAGTCCCTTCCTGTCCTTGAATTGTAAACCGGTAAGTGTAACTCTTTCCTGGTCTAATTGGGCACTGAGTGATAAATTCTGGTCCATCTGCCCATCCTGTTCTCATTTGCCTTACTCCATGCCTTTTGGAACACAGTAAAGTCGTACAATAAGGAAAAAAATCGTATGACAAATAATCGTGTCTTATTTATTAGTAACATATATAAGTTCAGTTGAGTTCTGCATGCATGAATTTACCAGTGAATGGTGACATTATATCGAGCTTTATTGACAACGTTGACAACTAAAGTATCCCCGTTGTTTACTTCTAATGTTGGTCCAGGGAATTGTCCGTTCACCGTTATGGTGTTGTGAGTTTTGCACAGCCTCTTCACTGGTGTTGCTTGAATCTGTTACAACAAAACAGAGGTAGGTATCATAAGCTTTTGTAAAATCTACGAAACGTTAGCATATAACGAAGGGAAATCTTGGATAGCTTACAACAAAATTATGGTTGTGAGTTTTCCCAAATGCTGCATTTGCAAGGAGAAGCAAAATGCATAGAAAGAAGAAAGAACTCAAAGGGTTAGCAATACTATTAAAAGCCTTCATTTTTTCCCTTCTCTTAAAACTCTTATTTGAGTATTAGTAGATGCAATTCAATGCTTGTTTGTGAAAGATAGTAGAGTTGAGTCTATGTTTTTATAGGGAGAAAAGAAGAGAGAAATACGTAGTCTGAGTTTGACAGATTATGTTTTCAATACTTAGTTCAACACCATGTAGAAGGTGTTGGTTCACCAACTTAGCTTATCTCTAACTGCATAAATTTTCATGAATAATGCTTACATTATAAGTCTTTTTATTTGAGTTTGTTATATATTTTATTTTCAAGGAAATATCAACTTTGTGGTTTTTGCTTAACATTCAAAGATGTGCTTTTATCCAACAAACTAAAGTTTGTTGTTATGATTAAAGGAAACATCTGCTCTTCGAGTTAAGAGTTTAAGCGATATATATCGTTAGTTTAAGTTACAAATTCCATATTTTAATAAGGCTTACCCGTAGATATTCTTTGGATGACCTGATGGTATAAAAACTCATTATACTGACAGTGTATATAACTTAAACACTAATCTTAAATGCTACTAAAACTGGTGAAAACAATTCTCTTTAATAGAAAAGGGAACTGTTAAGATTCTTTTCAAAAATGGATAGAAATTGAAGGTTAGACTTATAAAATCAAGATTGCATATTTGGTTCTTTCCTCTTTGGAGCAGGGGATCCACATATGTATGATCAGGATTAGAAGTTTACTATAGGAGTAGTACTTTTTTTTTCTTTTTATTGGGGATGTGAGGAGCCTTGATGTAACTCGTAAAGTTGCTGTCATGTGACCAGGAGGTCACGGGTTCGAGCCATGGAAAGAAATGCAGGTTAAAGCTGCGTACAATAGATCCCTGTGATCTGGCCCTTCCACGAACCCCGCGCATAGCGGAAACTTAGTGCATCGAGATGTCCTTTTTTTATTGGGGATATACTCGTGAATAGTGGGAGGAGGTGAATATGGGCAGCCTGGTGCACAAAGTATTTCACGTTCACACAGGATCCGGGGAATGACCGCACCCCAAAGGGTGTGATGTAGATAGATTACCCTAATGCAAGCATTAATGACTGCTTCCATGGCTCGAACCCTTGACTTATAGGTCATACGGAGACAACTTTACCGTTGCTCCAAGGTAGTGGAAGGAGGTGAAAATCTTCGGTGAAATTAAAAATCCTACACCAGAAGTCACTAATAAACTATGTTGCGCGGAGTCTCCAAAATGTTGTCGCACCCATATCGGATCTTCCAAAAATGCACTATTTTTAGAGGATCTGACACACACCAGAGATATTTTCGGAGAATTTGAGCAACATATCTAATAGATACTTGGTTTGTTATTTGGTCATTGAATGGAGGATGGTTAAAACTTCAGAAAGTGACAGTTTTGGTGGTTAAAGATTAGAATTAAAATATGGTAAACAAAGATAGGATTAAGTCTAGTGATGATGAAGTTAAAGATTGCCAAAGTCTTATTGTGTTTGGCGTGTCTATTAAAATAATAATGTTATAGATTTGATAGGTTCTATAGTCTAACTATAACTTTAGTTAGAGAAACCTACAAAAACTAACTTTGATTTGATTAGTGATGTCATTTAGTAGGTGGTCTGTCAAACAACACAATTCCCCCTCCCTTTGACTTCTTCACTTTCCTTTTCTTTTTTTGCACCATTTAAAAAAGAAACAAGAAAAAGAAGAAAGACGTACGTATGTAACCCACGTGTTATTATTCTTTTTTCTTTTCTAGAAGTAGGTCTTCCAAGTTCCAATAGATAAAAGGACGACGGTCGAGCGCATTAAGCATCCCGCATCCATGCAGGATCGGGAGAAGGGCTACAATCCAAGAGGGCATGATGTATGCAGCATACCTTAATGTAAGCATCAATGGCTGATTCCACAGCTCGAACCTGATCACATGAAGACAGCTTTACTGTTGCTCCGAGGTCCCGTTTCATAGTTCCATTGATGAAAAAATTATCTGAAATAGTGAGCAATCTACCCTCCAAATAAGATCTTTCATTTCGAATCTAGATTAATTGGACCCCAAAATGAATATCGGAGACCAAGTGAGAAACTAAAAAAATTTGATGAAAACATTGGTAATACTAATATGTAAATACTAGCGCAGATGTATATTGAGAGTTGTGATTTGTCTTTCATTCAATGATACCATCATTGTAAGAGTTAAAATTTTACGCATTAATAGTTGTACATTTTTTTTGTACGATTCTGTAAGTAATCTGATATCACATGTTAAACAGCACTTGTAGTACGAAATTTTTTTAACTGTCACTTGTACTACTAGATTCGAAGAGTAACCTTGGAGCAACGATAAAACTGTCTCTGTGTGAATTACAGGTCACGGGTTCGAGCAGTAGAATCTACCGCTGATACTTGCATCACAATAGGCTACCTACATCACATCCCTTAGAGTGTGGCCCTCCTCCGAAATCTGCGTGAACGGAGGTACTTCGTGCACTAGACTGCCCACTTATCTAACTAAATTCCTTATTATAAAGCGGGAAGTGTAACTAACATGATTAATTACCAATATGGTTTCGTGTAAATATGTGTTCGTAATAAATTTGTGGTCTAGAGTTGTTATCAGGTCTCCCTTAATGCTGAAGCATATAGGTTGGAACTAGGCACGATGGACTAATGCTAGTTTGGAGCATATCTGTTGGAATTAGGAACTAGAGATTTTCTTTATTTAGGACAATAGTGTCCTGATCAGCTTGCGCGCACGTCAACATAGGCAGGGACGAAAGTAGGATTTTCACTAAAAAATTCAAAAAGTTAAGAAAATAGATACATAAAGAAGTTAAAGGTGATTCAACATCTAATATAAATACATAAAAATAAGTTCACCTTATATGCGCAGTATAATTTTCGGGCGAAAGGGTTCAGCTGAACCCCCTTCAGCCCACCTAGCTCCGCCCTGAACATAGGTGCGAGATTCACTAACGCTTAGGCAGATGTGACCAGTAATATAATTCAGGGGGGGGGGGGGGAGGACTACAAGTGGGAGATTGTTAGATTAGTTAGTGTTTGATGGGAGTATTTGAGAAGAGGCTGTTTTGTCCCTCATTGGAAAAAAGAAAGAAAGGAAGAGGTGTTTAAAAGCACCTCTTTGTCTTATATAGTTTGAATATTTTTTAGGGTGTTTTGGAGGGAAATTGGAATTTGACTATATTATTAATAGTCAACATTGGGCACTTGGGCTTTGGGCCAATTAGTATTATTTTAATTTATATATATGAGTATTGGGTCGGGTTGGGTCATCCTATTTTAAGTGGATTATTATTTGTTAGACTGAAAATAAAAAATAAAAAAACACAAAATAAAAAAATACTACTGAAAAATTATATTTTCCGATCACTATGATTTTGTGCGAGTTATTAAAAAGTCATAGTTATATGACCATTTGTGAAATTTACTCAACTATCGCCCTCTATCTGTAGTTAAAAAAAAAGCAGTTGGTCTGTAGACTCTACCAAGAAAGATGAGACCTTTCTTAATTATAAATGTATTGGGAAAAAACTGAATTTATGTATTGAAGATAACGTGTCATGACACGTGGATTGGTCAAATGGTCAAAACGTGGTAATCAGTTAGGAGACACGAGCAACAACAGATGCGGGAGAGAAGATACTTAAAGGCACGAGCTATTATTCAAATGAAATGAGACTCGTACCTGTTCGAGTCATTTAAAGCTCGAAGATCAGAAGGAATTGAAGACATGAATCTGATAGCGTAAAAGAGTCCAAATTCAGCATTAAATGCCAAATACGTTAGAGAATTTGTATTTAATAGGAATGATTGAGTAACGTTTCTTTTAATGTCATTTATTGCTCATAATTGCCTCATTAAGACAAAGGCATTACACTTTCTCTTAGAATTAGCTATAAAAGGAGAAGGTCTCAACATCTGTAGGGGAGATCATTGTGATTATACTGAAATATAAACTTATTCATTGCTTTATTGTCATTCTTAAAGTCTCTCATTTCTTGATTATCAGTAACCTGATTTCTCTCTTAATTTCTAGCTTTAACCAAATATTCAGTTTTTTGGTTAAACAAATTGGTTCCGTTACCGGGAATCTGATAATCTATTCTTTTTAAGTTACATTTTATCTGTTGTTATCATCATGTCAAACAACAACAACAACAATAACAGTGAAAATACCTTGGGAAACCATGAAAATCAAATCCATCAAAATCAAGGAGATTTACAAAACATTAACGTGGTTCCTTCCGCTCAAAATTCACCACGTCAATCTCGTGAAGGCACTCCTGCTCCTGAATCTCATGTTGTTGAACAAGAGCAATCTGAACATTTTGAAGGAGCAGATGAAGCTTTACAAAAAGTAATTGATGCACGGGTTAGCAAAGCTCTTCAAGCTCTGGTTAGTCGATTACCTACTGCACCACCCACACCTACGCCTAATAACAATACATTGGAGAATCCTCGTTCTGGCCTTGTTAATTCTGGAAATGGAGGAACCCCCAGTGAACCACAGGAAGGAGAACCAGGTAATTCAAATAATTCTCATTTGCAAAATTTAGTACTAACTTTGCAGAAATGGCTTAAGGAACAAAATGAGAGCATCGAGCAAATCCCTAGAGTTCCCCCTGTAATCAAAGGAGTGGATGTGGATAAATACTTGCAACAACCTTGGAAACCAAGTGCTGCTCCCCTTCCAATCCCTAAAAAGTTCAAAATGCCTGACATCTCGAAATATGATGGCACAACAGACCCACGTGATCACGTAACTGCATTTACTACAGGTGTAAAAGGCAACGACTTGACCAAGCAAGAAATTGAATCAGTGTTGGTCAAGAAATTTGGAGAAACACTCACCAAGGGTGCATTAACCTGGTATTCTCTTTTATCTGAAAATTCTATAAACTCTTTTGCTGAGCTTGCAGATTCTTTTATTAAAGTGCACTCGGGAGCTCAAAAGGTTGAAAAAAGAATGGAAGACATTTTCAAAATTAAACAAGGGGACTCAGAGTTGCTCAGAGATTTTGTTGATAGATTCCAACGTGAAAGGATGACTTTACCCCGTGTACCTGATAATTGGGCTACAATAG